CAATATAGATCTTGATTATCGATCAGATCGTCTTGACTGTGCGCCACCGTTTTGTTTGAATCAAATGAAAGTGATACGAAAGGTGGAATCTGATTGGTCGATAGGAAAGTTTTAGAAGGGTCATAACTCGTAATAACCACTGGTGGCACTACGATCAAGCCCAGGAATTCCAGACTAGTTCGGCAAGGGTGGAAACTGGACTTTTACACTCAGTTAACGCTCTTGCCTCGGGAAGATGTATATTGTCTATATATCGCGAAAACTAGTTTCACGTTTCCTCTGACAAAATGTGAAAACTAAAGGTTGCAACAGGAAGATGTATGCATCAATCCTTAGTGTTCACTAGTTAACACTTTTAATATCAACCCCTAGTGTTTCAGTGACACTAACGGTTGCGGATGCAACGCTGAGTGCTCACATATTTACACTATGGGTTGCAATTACAACCGTTAGTGTCCATGGTCTTGAGCCAATGTTAAGTGATACAGTGTGACACAAACAGACGGATTTGTGTTCGTCATCTGATACTGAGTTGAAAGAAATCCATAAAGACTTGGACGCTATAGAAGTGCTATATAATTGTATGTACCTTGGTAAGATAATACGTTGGTGGTTGATACAGTAAACGAGATGTGGGGATATTTTGTCAAATGACAAGTGTCAACTGCAGTAGTAGGAACAGACGCACATCACATTCATCGCACCATGAGGAGGATAAAGGCGTTGGTAGCTGGTCTTCTCTTTGCGATGCTGATCTATGTGTTTTGGGTTTTAGGTAAGTGTCTGTCTTTATACAGCATATCTTTATATCGGTACTTGTCGTGTGTAATTTAAGGAGAAAAAGATATGTAATTGATATGTAATTTATTCAAGTATCAAATGTTGCTATTCTCAGTAACACAGGGTTTGATGCTATAAAATACTTGCAATATCCGGCATTCAGGCATAGGATACATTTAATTTAGTAAATTAATTAATTAAAATATGTAAATATATTCGAAAAAAAACCGCAATACGAATGTCTTTGGCCATAAAAGCAACATTAGCAGACCAAGAGGTGCACAATGAAGAGGTGTAATGTGTTATCGCGTCAGTGACAAATTTCCCGGATCAAAATGATCACAACAAGGACATGCACACCATTAGTCGGGAAACACGTACGCTTCGGAAAAACGCACCAAGTGCATTAACAAAAGGGCCATGAAGCTGCACGTACTGCACATGCAGCAGCACTATGAACGGTATTAAAGTGCAGGGTTTTTAATTGCCTAACATCTGCGTCAATCGAACAATGACAGTTCAACAACATGCCAAGATAAACAGAAGTGCAAAGAAACAACGTCATAGGCCGCTTGCAGGCAGGGGAATCCCGATCAGCTGTAGACGCGTCATATTGAGTCGACCACATCGTCAACAACGACTGCTTTGGTGTCGTCAACACAGGATATGGCCTCAACTGCGATTGTGAAAGATGTCTGGTTCAGCGACGAATAAAGATTTCTCCTCCGTCGAGGGGATGAAAGAACACTGGTCTGCAGAAGTCGGGGGGAACGTAACGCCGGAAAATGCGTACAGAAAGTGAACAGGTTTGGTGGGGTAGCGTTATCATGTGGGCGAATATCTCTCACCATGGCAGGACAGGTTTGGTCCATATCCATGGCAATCTTACGGCTCAACGATACATCAACGAAATTCTCCTTCCACACGGTAGCGGCAACGGTGTATTCCGGTGCTCGACCGCATACAGCACAAATCATAAGATCCTGTCTACACAACTACAGCGTTAATGTTATCCCCTGGCCCACCAGATCCCCGGATTTGAACCCGATAGAGCACCTATGTGATGGATTGGATAGACGGCTACGCCGACGTCAACCGCAACCCAAGACGTTGCTGCAGTTGCGTTGCAGGCCGAGTGGGCTACCATCCCCCAAAATGTGATAAGCATTCTCGTCTCTTCCACTGGCAGGAGATGCCAGGCCGCTATCAATTCCAACGGGGGACATACGCGTTATTTATGGTAGCTGACTTTTCCTATGCACGATAACTGAGATGACAACATTTTGGCTCAATACCTTGTGCGGTTCCTCGTATAAATGTATTTTCCTACCTCACACAAATATGTCTTTGCGTTTCTTTTTTTTGAAGAGTATATGTCATACCGAAGAGTATGTGTTATAACATCAGGCACAGTTTGTCGAGTGTGGACCAGACAATCCAGTGATTGACATCATGAGCATCGATCCACGCAATTGGTATACGATGACATGCATCAACCAAGTCAGCGAATCTGACCACCCGATCCCGTTAGTCGCCTCTAACGACAAGCATAGTCGCCTCTTACGAGTTGCTGAAGACCTATTCTAAACCTATTCTTCACGGGTCTAATGCACAGTCAGTTGTAAATAACGTTCTTCACACAGCCCAGATATACAACATGTACCATACACCTGCAACCTGGCAACATACTGGCAATTGTACGCAACTTAACATACAACACACAGTCAGGGTTATATTACTACATACATAGTTAATTATATACATAATTTAGCATACGACACGCATAGCAAAGGATCCTTTGGATAACTATTAGCTTTCCCACCAATACAGACAGCCTTTATTCTCAAAACAATTCGGTGAACAACGTAATGGATATATCAACACTACTTTTGTATGTTAATAGTTCAGCTGGTACAGAGCCTGCTCGGGTGATGACAAATTCCCCTTCAGCTGGGGTGCCCGGAGAACTTAAGGCACCAGTACACTACGTGTTTATTAGATGATATGCAACCCTCATCGTTCCATGAAATAGATCTAGATCTGTCATTAGCCACACCAATTTCGTCAAAAATCTCGAAACTCATAGCTACCATATTTCTCTGTCAAACGGTTTGGCGCATCCATAATCCGTGGATTGGGCAGTTCCTTACGTTACGCATGACATATATTCATCTTAAATAGTTTCTGTACACTACCTCGACATTAATTGGTACATTAAAAGAAACTACTTACGTCATGTCATTTGCATTGATAAAGCAACAAATCCCTTTCGACATCCAATAGAAATGTCTGCATAAAGCAGAGTCGATTGGACAATTCCGACTATATCATGCGCATGTATTTATGAATCCCTATCAAATAGTAATGATACCACGGTGGCACATGTCACAAACGCATGAAAAGGCAAGTCAATTGTTCACCTGAAAAAAACATGCGAACATGTGGTAATAGTCAAAATAGGGAATTGCATCGGACATAATTTTTGTCACTGATGCATCAAATTTGGAAATATTCTCCACATGTCAACCATATACCTTGGCGAAAGCTTTACTGAGGCATTTAGTGTTGTAACCTTGATCAAACAAGTTCTGAGCAAGAGTCGTATGACGCTCTTTGAAATATTGTAAGAAGGGGCATGCTCTATTGTATCTCAAAAGTTGCGAAATGTAGACACCAAAGGCCGGAGACTGCTGTATTTCGAGTTCAGGGGGTAAATCAATGGAAGGGAATTGGCTATTTGATTGTCATTGAACGGGATCAAATCATCGATATACCTGATGCTTAAGTTAAACTTCTTGGCCAAATTACCTTGTTTTCACTTTGCCAATCCCAACAGAAATTCCGATTCATATGCATAATGTAACATATCCGCAAGAAGGGGAGCACAATTGGTGCCGATAGGGATGCCTACTTCTTGTCTAAATGCCTTACCCCAAAATTTTACGCAGTTATTATCAATAAGGAAGTCCAGCATTTCACATATTGTTTTCATTTTTCACAAATTGTCCTGAATCTCTGAAAATGGATACGTAACACTATCTGTGTTCACCACGTTTTGTAACAAAAGCCTCATAGATCAAGGAATGTCACAGTTCCAGGTGCAGTGTATGTCAGTGTCTACACCAATCTCTCCCAAGGAAATGAAAGGAAAAGGGATTTATATCCTATGCATAATTTTCATGATTTCATTTGTCTACGCTATCTTGGTAGCACTGACATGTATCATCAAATCTCATAAGACTGACAGTATATCTCTGACTGGGGTATATCAGTTTTCTCAATTCCGGCTTACACCCTCTGTTATGTATATGTCTGGCATTCATAGGATGTGTTAACCATTGAAGAGGATGGACTAGAGCTCATGTATCCAGAGTACTACTTAAGTTAACAGTTGGGTGTACATTTCTGGTGCTCCAAATACTGAAGCAAATAATATGAAATGTACAAAACGATTTAAAAATATGATTCTATTAGAATATGGTCGTGTCTGAGCTGAGCCCTGTGACTAGAATGTTAATGAATGTAAATAAAGACATGATAGCCAAGGTGGTAAAAGTTCACTGGTTTATTATTATCAGCTACATATATATATATATAATTAACGAAAGACTGGAATCAAAAGTGACTGGAGTCCAACTGTCACGGACAAAGATCCATACAGGGATAAACAACCTACCAGGGAAACTAAGTTCGACAGTTCACACCGTCGCAGAGCGATCCGCCAAGGTCTGACGAAAGCAAACTAAATCAAAATAAAGGGCTAAACATAAGCTACCTAAAGCTACAATTAGTAAGGTGGCAAAAATGACGAGATACACGAGAAATATCTACATAGTACGAGATAATCCCGTTATTTCGTAAAGATCAAAGTTACTAAAACACTTTCAACATTTGAATATGCTTGTACACTCTTGGGAGATAACACATTTAAGAGCATAAGATTGAAATGGTATAGAATGAAATTTACAGATAGCAAATTCCCCAGCGATAGCCCAACAAACTCAAATTAAGCCAAACTGAAGCCGAGCTGTCGATCGCTGTACAGTGGTGAGTAGGGGGCGCTAAGATCACTGGACCGTCATGAGCTGCGTTCTACGACTCGGTGACAATGGTACAGATACATATCTCATAAATTGAGAATTATTTTGAACAGTTCATAAGGAAGGTCATCACTTATTGTATGACAAAGTGTTAATTACATATTGATTGTTTCAGATGACACTCGAGAGCCAGCAGCTACGGGTGTTTTGTCTTCTGGTCATTTAGAGGTAGGTTTACACAATATCAAAAATTGGAAGTTACACAGGAATCAGGATGTCTTGTGGATAGAAAGGGCCACTTTCCAGCTTATTTTAGTAAAGATATTTCCCATGGAATACTTAAAAAATATAATGATTATCTATGGTGATGTGAATTTAACTGAGGTGTACAATGGCAAGTAGTGGTGCAATTACAACATCCAAACTTCTAAACTGTTTGGCAATGAGGAATTTATTTATTTGAGAGCATTCTGTATGCGATTATCATGAATTCATGACCAAATACATAATTTTTTACGAAATAGTATGGTTTTTCTATGGAAACTGAACATGTCAAAACCATGTTATCAAATTATATACCCTGTGAAAAGTGTTATGGCTTTTATTACCGTTTATTGAGGCAGTCTAACCAACTGATTACTGATGGAGCCCAACTTAACAGCATCAGTCCTGGATATAAGTGTTATCAATAATGCTATAAGTCAGCAGCATGATCTTCGACTTCGTCATCGCCAACAACCATATGAATATGAAATACATGTGTAAATAAAGTGACAAAACCCTTCCAAAATATGTATAAAACCTTTCTGTTTTTCCCCTACTTTTGAGCGCTGAACTGGTCTTAACATATTCTTCAGTAATTGGGACCTTATTGTAATTAGCCCCCACAACGATAGTTATTGTTGGTCGTAAGAGCCGACAAAACTCATTACTGATTTCAATGATCGAGTCATATTAGTTTCCCTTGTGGACTGATAATAGAAACTGGTGATTCTCTAAGACTGACGTTTTGGATTGTCTCGTGGAAACTCGACTATTTATTTGTCACAGTGGTAAAACTTGAACATCTAGATAACAAGTCGAGCATTTTCAGTTCGAGATTTAATTCCATTAACGTTTTGCTAAATATACTCAAAAAAGAAAGTTCCTGTGACACCAATATTTTAGTGTAGTTTTAAAGTAAAGTTTGGTTTTCAATATTGTAGTAAAAGTATGGAATCAAGTCACAAAAACGCAACTGCTACAGAAAAGCATGCATTCCATGCAAAAGTTGACTTTTATGCAAGCTCCATACATTTCACAACCCAAGAATGGGTATAAAAAATGTGCGTTAACGGGATTCCATATGCATTGTTTAGCATCGTGCTGACAACAATCACTCAGAAAAACAACAAAATTACGCAATTTATTCAACATTACGAAATGCCACGCATGTCCGAAAATGAGCGTATGCTTGAAGCAGGATCGTGTCAACGTGATGTCGCAAGACAATTTAACGTCCACAGAAACACCATTTGGTGTTTATGGCAACGTTGGCAACAGACGAATGCAGTCAGAGACCTTCCTCGAAGTGGCAGGCCACGCGTAATCAATAATCGACAAGACAACTTGATTCGAACAACACACCTACGAAATCGATTCCAGCCAGCAACAGTGACTGCAAAAAGCATACCTGGCCTACGACGAATATCTTCTCAAACCGTACGTTGTCGCCTCAGATGTGCAGGGATTGTCGCCAGAAGACTCGCCAGACGTCCCCTTTTGGCCAGAAATCACCGTCAAGCACGTCTACAGTGGTGCAGACAGCGTCTATGCTGGACGGTCATGCAGTGGGGACAAGTTCTATTCACTGACGAGTCTGGTTTTCACCTCAGCCACAGCGATGGACGGTTCAAGTGTACCGACGTCGAGGTGAACGTTACGCCAATCATTGTGTCATGGACGAAGATCGGTTCGGGGGCGGCAGCGTTATGGTATGGGATGGAATTACAGGAACGCAGAGGACCCGTATGATAGTGGTAGAGGGAAATCTCAATGGACAGCGCTACCGCGACGAGATCATCGGCCCTGTTGTTCTACCGTTTTTGCGTCGTCATGGCCCAGGCATTACCTTTCAACATGACAACGCCCGGCCTCATATTGCTCTACTTGTTCGGGATTCTCTTCAACAAAACAACATGAATGTCATCCCCTGGCCGGCTCGCTCCCCTGGTCGCTCACCAATCGAGCACATGTCGGATGAGATGGATCGGCGCCTTCGACGTCAACCACGTGTTCCACAGACACTCCAGCAGATATAGACAGATATCCCATGGGACTTTGTGCGACGCCTGGTTCATTCCATGAGACAAAGATGTGGGCTTGCAACGCAACCAGAGGTGGACACACACGCTATTGATTTGTAAATCGACATTTTGGCATGTTCATGTTTTTTTTTTTATAAAATCACGCATTTTCTGAAGTAAGTATGGCAAATTAAACCATTTGAATACTTCAAGAGTCTTTTATCTGTTGCAAACCGAAATTGATTCAGATTTGGTAACAAAACTTTGCATTAAATCTTATTCAATGTCACAGGAACTTTTGTTGTTCAGTATATGAAAAACGTGTAGACGAAGTTACTTTTAAGCTTTTACCCACTTTGAGGCGCTGAACAGGTCTCAACGTTTTCTCAAGTAAGGCCAAATGGGGACCCGTTTATAGTAAGTCCTCACACAAATAAATTTTTTTGGTCGCAAGAGCCAACAAAAACTCAGATCTGGTAGTCGTATGCCGGTGGCGTGGATCGTTGCGCATCTCTACTCATTTCGCGAACATGCTTTCATTCACTTGGTTGCCTGGTCGAAACTCGATTATGTATTTGGTAAAACTTTAACATCTAGATAACAAGTCGAACAGTTTCAGTTCGAGATTTACTCCATTAACGTTTTGGTCACACAATGACAGTCACAGTATTACACACGTTGGTAATGAATTCGTATTTTGTTATGTCTGTAAACAAGAATTTTTTTAATTAAACCTACATAATCATCCGTGATTCTGGTTAGAATAGGATTATTTGATATTCAGGGATGGATATGGGCTTGTTTTGAAAGAACGAATTGTTCCAGAAAACAATGGCAAAAATTATTTTGTCTCAAGTATACAAAATAAAAATATACCATGGACGTGATGATACTATTTCTGATGCTCTTTTTATTATATATTTTTATTTTTCAGAGAGATTTTAACTTTCCTCTTCACCAAAGTGCACAAATGAAAGCGGAGCTGGAGTGCCGATTTGCCCAAAGAAAAGACATTTTAAAACGAGCCTGTAATAAGGTTGGGAGCACTGATTCGTCAAGACGAATGATATTGACGCATCCAAAAAAACATAAAACCTCTGCAATGTGTGTCATACAAAAAGCTGGAAGTACTTACTGGAATTATGTTGTGGCTGTTTATCGAAGACATACTCAGACAATGATAGGCGAGGACTCCCATAGCAAAATAGTTATTGGAATAAAACAAACAAAGCTAAATACACCACACACCCTATTAACGTTTGTAAGAAACCCATACACAAGATTACTGTCGGGATATGTAGATAAGATTTTCTCAATTAACCCTATGTATTGGAAAAAGGTGGGATCTAAAGCCGCCGAGACTGTTCGCGGTAAGGAGATTTCCAGTGCTGGAAATGCATCGTGTGGCTCCGACGTTACTTTTGCGGAGTTTGTGGACTTCATTCTTTACAGCAACGACAACAAAATGGATATTGATAGACATTTTAATCCTATTCACAGACACTGCGGCTTTTGTAATGTTGACTATGACTATATAGGGAAGATGGAGACGTTTGTGGATGACATGGTGTTTGTGAGTGACGTGATGGGACTTCTGAAATATGACAAATCAAGGGAGGCTGTTATACATTGGGGTCTAGAAGGGGTGCATCATATGATTTACTCAAATGCGTTCAATGTGTTTACATCGAGGCGGCTGCAAATGGAAAGATGTGGAGTGACACTTATTGAAGGACTTCGTGTAACCTGGAAAAGATGGCAGATTCGAGGAATGATATCTATGGATCTCCCATTTCCACTGAAAGCAGATGAAAATCATGTGACATTTGAAAGATTCAATGAGTTAGCACAGAAGGCGCACAATGAGTCTGATCCTAAAGTCTTATCGGAGGGGAAAAAGAGAGCACTCAGAGAAGCATATGGGTCACTGACCTATGAGGCCAAGGTCAGACTGAGGAAGCTTTTTGAACCCGAGTTTCAGATGTTTGAATATGATCCTATGCCAGACTACGTTTATGGAAAATATCGAAAGGATGACAAATTTAGCTTTTTTGATAATAAATTCCTACGGGATAGATGAGATTAAATGTCCACTTTACCCTCATTATATACACCATACAATATACCTATGTCACGTTTCCATTCATCTTAACTGGCATACACTAACTTGAACTTGTTCATCCCTTTGGAAAATTTAGCATTTGACGGTGCCTATTTTAATTTTTAAATATACAGGCGACTAAGCTTTACATGAACATTGTAGTATAGCTATCTCTAGCTTAAAGGTTTGGTTACAAGTTGTGATTCTGCATTAATTTGTCAATCCTAGTAGGTTTGTGCCCTGATCACATAACTGTTTCTTGTACAAGACAGGGTTTTACGAGAATCGCGCAAAACATCCTGCAATAAATACATATGCGATGTAGGGAGTGGATTTAATGTAGAGGTTGCACGGTAGATGGGATGGGGTGTACGAATTTGGAAAATGACATTTGACATTTTGTTCCTGTACGTATATAGATGTGTATGAGGTGTATGGCAGTAAAAAAACATACAATTCAATTGTTTGAATCCTGTGCGTTTTGAAGAATCGTGGTTAAGTGAACTCATGCGAGGTTCTTTCGGCATCCAGACAAGACGCATTAGGTTTTGGAGTAGAATCTTGATATCGTTTCTTGACATGTTTTGTCCCTGTTTCCTTTGAAAACCAACTTTCGTTTGAAACTTTTTTTATGTTGAAAAACCTGTAAAATCAATTTTAGCCTTCAACTAAGCTCTATATTTGAGCTGTCAAAATCCAAAACAGGCATATGCTGAAAAAATCAAGGGTTTACTTAAGGTCTTAAACGCAGATTTATTCGACATAAAAGACATGTTTTAAGGTGTTTATGAGTAAATGTGATACAGTTACCTTGAAGAATATTTTCATAAGGTGTCACCATAATAAATAAATATAAATGTGTCTCTGCCGATTAGGGGGCACGGGTGGCCCAGTCGTCTAAGGCGTCGCGATTCGCTGGCAGAGTTGCGTCCCTTGGACACGCCAGAAAACTATGATTGTGGGTTCGAATCCCGGTTCACCCCAATTATGTTTCTAGGTTTGTCAGCACCATACCCGAGCTCGTGAGTTTCACCGAAGCGGTGAACGCCTGAGATATGCATCACTTCGGGCTTTACTCCCACATTAAGCTGACACGCCGTTATATAACTGTGATACTGTTAAAAGCGGCGTTAAACCTAACTCACTCACTCACTTTGCCGAGTAAATATTTTGTGTTGATCGTTGTTTAGGAATATATAAACAGTTGTACAAGTTGCTGATTTGTTTTCATTCCGGGTGTGATGGCCTGCAAATAAGACATAATGGATTCCAATTTCTTGGTTCTTCATTCGAATTAGCCCCATTTAATCTATGCCTCCCCATTCTCACGTACTGGGCGTGTCTCCCAGAAGCCGATATAGAGTACTTTGACACGTGTGTAGTGTGTCTTGATTTCTCCGCTGTGTCCTGGACGTGTCTGACATATCAGTAGTAATGGCATTGTATTGCCATGTATTATGCAACCCTCATAACACCGATATTATGTTTTGTTTGTTCATAATTTATTAATGACATTTACCAGCTATACGACTCCGTGGGACGTTGCACAAAATATCAAATATCAAAATATACCTGTTTATACCTGTCCAGACTGGGCCGCCATCATACAACTGGAAAAGTGCCGGATACAGTGTTAAACAACAAACACATTATGCCTTGTTTCGGTACGTTTGATCTCTTTATACGCATCATTTAATAGATTGACAGACGGGCGGTGGGTTACCCAAATGAGTCGCATGAGCACACTGTGCAAAGTCCATTTGTTCGCCCTGATATTGCTGGAATATGGTCAAAAGCGGCGTTAAACCATTATAAAAATGTACATGTATAATACGCCAAATTCACACCGTAAACCATTCATATAGTTCTACATTATCATCATGGTTTAGTGTGCACATAATGTTCATTCTCAGCTCCCTGGGGAGTACACAACTTGCCTATGAGGCGCTCAAAAGGTTAATCGGTTAATACCATACCACCCCTCTCGAGTACACATTCACTGTTGCGTGAACCGATCACACAACATACTATGAGGCTATCACGACTTGTTCAAATGATGGCTACAGTTTAAAATATATTGTTAATGTCAAATTTTGTTTTGTCACGAAATGGCTGAAATATTGCCGATGTGACGTTAAACTTTAACTCACTCACTCACTCAAATGATGGCCGGTCACAGCTGCATACAACTCCATTTGGTGATGTTTAAATTGATCGGAGCAAAGAAACAAGTTTTAATACACACAGCTAATCAGGCAACCAAATAGACAGACAAACGATATTTATTACTCTTTGACCATGTCTAAGAGTGAGTGAATATAGTTTCACGCCGCTTCTAGCAATATTCCAGCAATATCACGGCGGGGGGACACCAGAATGGGCTTCACACATTGTACCCATGTCGGGAATCGAACCCGGGCCTTCGACGTGACGAGTTAACGCTTTAACCCCCAGGGTACCCCACTGCCTCCCGTGTCTAAGAGGAAATCAAAAAAGAATTCCTTTGAATTGATGGAGCATACAATCAATCATCCACCGAATGTTTTTTTTACGTTTCAGGGATGATCTTTTACGTTTGGAAAATATCGTGATGAAAACAAGAAAACAAACTTAAAGTTTTATGGAAGTTAGCAATATATTGAGGATGCCATGCGCCATGATGGAGTACGTTTTCACACCTTTAACAGGTGAATCATGTACAGGGCTGAGTAAAGAATGATCAATCAATGGCTTCTTATTGTGAAGCGTAGTTTCATCACTAATTGACAGTTGCTCACAACATATGCTTATGATATACTAGTAGTTGGCATCGACAATGCATATTTATTATGATTGGGGAAATGATTGTGTGACTTCTTAAAATTTTGGTAGCTTGTAGCAATGGCCATTCTTTTTGTACTACATCCGCCATGTGGTTTCCCCAACCGGAAATGATGTAATTGTCCTATGTCAGGTCATGTGATAAGTAATTTAATTAGGTTCCTCATTATGTTAGCAGGAGGCATATTACCACAAGCCGAAGGGTATGGTTTCAAAATAGACAATCAAGAAATATGACAATGATTTCAAGACATATTTGCATTTGGGGAAACTCTTCTGTACCTGGGGGCACGGGTGGCTCAGTCGTCTAAAGCGCCGCGATTCGCAGGGTAGAGTTGCGTCCCTTAGCACACCAGAAGCCTATAATTGTGGGTTCGAATCCCGGTTCGCCCCGATTATGTTTCTAGGTTTGTCAGCACCATACCCGTGCTCGTGGGTTTCACCGAAGTGGTAAACGTCTGAGACTTGCATCACTTCGGGCTTTCCTCCCACATTAAGCTGACACGCCGAGATGTGACTTGACCACTGTTTAAAGCGGCGTTAAACCCAACTCACTCACTCACTCTTCTCAACCTGGAAAAGCGGCCGTGTCGGGACTGCATCTGTTTTTCAAATCTACACTAAATGTATATCCAATCTATCATTCAAGTGTAATGCTGTTAGTTTATCTGGCCGCAGGTCATAACAAACAAACAAACACTTAATTTGAATGTGCAAAGTTGCATGTGATGTGACAGCACTTTGTGTATACAAATCACCAATTTTTACTATGCCTTAAAATGTATGCATACTCTTACTCGATTATTGCCAATAATACTTGTTAAAGAAATTTGTATTTATGTCACATTGTACTCATTTTTGTAATTTTATCAGTCAAACTTATGATCAAAGAAACTAAACTTTGTCTTTTCATACTTGCCAAAGACAAATTCTGGTGTGGATTCATAATCAAACAGTTCAAATTCAGGGTGAAACATTGTCCTCAACTTGGCCTTAGCTACATAAGTAAGGGTCCCGTAGGCCTCTCTAAGTGCCAAATGTTTCCCTTGTACTAATATATTAGGATCAGATCTAGCATGAGCTTCTTGGCCCAATTTGTAGAATTGTGTGTGTGTTATGCCAATACCATTAGCCTCAACTGGAAATGGAATCTCCATTGAAATCATTCCACGAATTTGCCATCTCTTCCACGTGGCACGAACACCTTGAGATAGGGTCACTCCACACGCTTCCATATCTTTCCGCCTGCCATTGAATAAATTGCGTGCATTTCTGTAGAACATTATGTCCACACCGTGAATGCCCTCCTTTAATACAACCTCTCTTGTGGAATTGTGTTCCATCACGCCTAAAGCGCCAGCTACATAAACCATGTCTTGAAGGAACGTTTCCATTTTACCAATGTAATCATATTCAGTCCCACAGAATGCACATTGTCGATGTATGGGAACGAAATGGTTATCAATTGGTATATTTCCCTCGAGTTGATAAAGAATAAAGTCCACATATTCTGCAAATGTAATGTCGGTACCACAAGTTGCATTCAGTTCTTGTTCTGGTCTTGTTACAGTTCTGTTCTTGTAGCGAATTAGCTTTAAAGCATTATATCCCGAATTTTTCCAAAAGGTCGGATTAACAGAAAATATTTTATCCACATACCCAGACAATAACCTTGTGTATGGGTTTCTAACAAATGCATATTTCTTGGTAGACATATACAGTCTCTGTGGTAAGTCAGACGAAGACACAAACCCAGTGGTGTTCAAAATAGAACGATGAAATATATTATATTTGGCAAGCACTCGCATCCAAAACATGCTTCCGACTTTCGCTATCCTGCATAATGAAACTCTTTTACGGACGTTGGTCTTTGAACCATGTGGAGGTATGCGAAATCTGGGTCCAAGAAAATACCGATGGTATTTCGTACAAGACTTCTTTAGTAATTCCCGTCTCTTGGCAAATCTGCATTCAAGTTGACTCTTCATCGCCTGACTTTGGTATAGAGGTGAATCGAGACTCTTCAGCTTCTACAATATTAAAGATAACAACATCAATGAAAGGCACACCAATCATTTCGGAGTGATATATTTGGTCACTTCGATTTGCTTTTCAACTGATCTAGATTATGCACATAGAAACAGTTCCTTGTGGAGAGATCGTGAGAATCTAATGGTTCTACTTCCGGATCAGCAGATTCGAATGATTTCTCTAAATTAAGAATGTTCAGGTAAATACAAACGTCTCTTAATTTTGCCAAATAGACCTTTAGTTGCGTCAGCTGTACTTCTTTAAATGCAGGTTCAGAATAGCCAGTGAATGACTGGCTCAGTATCCACTGAAACTACAATAGCATGACGTCGTTATAACGATTTAAAAGTATAGAGTGAGTGAGTATGGTTTTACGCCGCTTTTTGCAATATTCCAGCAATATCAAGGCGGAGAACACCAGAAATGGGCTTCACTAATTGTACCCACTTGGGGAATCGAACCCGGGTCTTCGGCTTGACGAGCGAACGCATTAACCACTAGGCTACCCCACCGCCTTTAAAGAGCAGTCATATAGCTGGAATATAGCTGAGAGCGACTTTAAACAACAAGTATGCAAAGCACATAAAATAACGCCACTTGTCACAAATCATAAATTTCCTTGTTATTTTGGGTGATAATGACATTTCCTTTGGTTATATACTCACCGCCAAAAGAAACGAGCATCACAGAAACATATATAGAAGTATGTACGTTAAGAAGAGATGTTTCCAATGTGTATCAATTAATGACAAAACTAAAAATCAGTCAATTGTTACCACAAAGTGTCTTTATTTTCTTCACACTAATCCTGCCCGAGACAAATGGTGCATCTCGAGTCATGAGTCTATGACGTCACATGTGATGCATTCATGAGCGTCGGTTCACACAACATACCAGTATGTTCGTTTGTGCATCAAACCAATCTTATTTCTCGTATTAACAAACATTTATTGTATTCGCGTTTCTTTTGTCGGTGAGTATATTAATGTAAATGTGAGTGAGTATGGTTTTACGCCGCTTTTAGCAATATTCCAGCAATATCACGGCGGGGGACACCAGAAATAGGCTTCACACATTGTACCCATGTCGGGAATCGAACCCGGGTCTTCGGCGTGACGAGCGAACGCTTTAACCACTAGGCTACCCGACCGCCCCTAATGTAAATGCAAAACACTAAGAATGTCGTTGTGTTTACATTCTTCACCAACAACACCTACCTCAACGTTACAACCAGGTGTTACCGACAGAGACATTTGTAGTGAAGGTTCGTCTGCAAATACAAAAGTTTAATAACATATCTGCCCTGTGTTCGCGCTATCCTCCTGTGTCACCTTTCGTTCAGAACACAAAATATTTCAAAGCTTAAAATGCACATAAACGATGAAACACAGAAATGCATGCACATACGAATGCTTGATCCGAAGGCGGCATTGTGACATTGAAACTTTAGATTGATGACTAGCATGAATAATACATTTATGAAAATACGAACAAAGTATCTATTTATGAACAAAGTATCTATTTACATAACCGAGGTTATTTGGGTATCAGCTAATGCACGGTGCCAGAAATACGTGAACAGGAAAATATGTGAACCTATTTAACTTAACGATATATGTTTTATCTGGAACCAGAAAATAAAAGAGTACCCTTATGTCGGATGTGCATACGGTTCACAGAGAGTAATACCCCGAACACAACAATCATGAATTGTGTCCAATCAGAAAGACATTTACCGCCTTGGCAACAGCAGCCTAGCAACAACAAGGGTAAAGAGAAACTCTACCGACCTCGTTGGATAATAACGCTTTTTTAAACTAGTAATGTGAGTTTCGTTTTAATTATCAGTGAGTGAGTTTGGTTTTACGCGGTTTTAGCAATGTTCTAGCAATATCACGGGGGACACCAGAAATGGGCTTCACACATTGTACCAATGTCGGGAATCGAACCCGGGTCTTCGACGTGACGAGTTAACGCTTGAACCACTTGGCTACCGGATCGCCCCTTTAATGATCAGTGTCGTGTTTGAATGTATATGACAGAAGATCGCATGCCAATATAAACTGTATGCCTGAGGTAGCCGGAAGTTGTTAGAGTCTAGTGGGTAAATAGATCCTGCACACGTTTCCTCGCCCAGAATATAAAGCACACTGCATTCCAACTATATAACTGACCGCAGAACAATTTATCAAAAACAGCAATATCGACTTCAAATCCTGTTTCGACCCGTCCTTATCGCTGTCATATGTTTTCATACATATTTGCACGTGCGTCCTGACCCGTGAAGATCCGGGGTAGAATAGGTCTTCAGCAAATCCATACTTGCCATAAAAGGCGACTATGCTTGTCATAAGACGCGACTAACGGGTTCGGGTGGTCAGGCTCGCTGACTTGGTTGATGCATGTCATCGTATCTCAATTGCGTGGATCGATGGTCGTGATGTCAAGATTTGACTATTTACAGACCGCCGTCATATAGCTGAATATTGCTGAGAGCGGCGTTAAACCACAAACAAACAAGCATGTGCGTTCTCCTTCACACAACTGCACATTCTGAGAAATGGATATAGTGATTGCTGTCAAGCTTGTTCCTAGGTGAGTGAGTGAGTGAATGTTGTTTAACGCCTCTTTTAGCGACATTCCCTCTGCATAACGACTGCCAGAAACTAGTCAAGACTGAACCATGTGAACCAGCGACTGAAGAATGATCAACAGTTAGTGTGATAATACGCATTTAGCCAAATCAAGGAGACGTGGAGACCAATCACTATTTATTCAGCTTATCGACAACTGGGGACCTATCATGACAAGGACATGGTATTGCTTAACATTATCTATCGTTGTCGTAGTTGGGACAAATGGCAACCTTTTGTTATAAGTGACCATTGGTTGTTTCTCAAGCACATTTCACAGAACGTTGTATGAACAAAAGAGGTCAGAATAACACATAGAATGATGAGAACACATATTTACTTTTATATGGATTGACCGATCTATTATGTAACGTATTTTATATCAACTATCAAATAGGTGGTCCCTCGTGTATTTCTCACCACTGTTAAATCGATAGAAGTCTATACATGCAAAAGTGGATGGCATTGGCTGATTCCTTTTTGAATACAACATATCAAATCCTGCAACTATATAATATAATATTACAGTAAACTGCGGTTATAACGAACACGCTTATAACGGACTGACGAATATGACGAACTTACTTTTTTGGTCCCGACTATTTGCTGTAGTTATGCTGTATATATGCTTCTAACGAACTACGGTTATAATCGAACTGCTACGAGTAAAAGTCTTGTTATATCTTATGACTGGCATGGGATCCTGGTGACCTATTTTCAATGGAATAGCCACAGAGTTAAACAAACCTGAACTGATACAGATGTAACATATTGTATTGACAGCACAATCACATATGTCATAACACCACAGACGAATATTTATCACAATAACTGCTTGTATACTGTTATTTTATTTTATGAACAAGAAGGAAAAGACACACACACACACACACACACACCACACACACACACACACACACACACACACACACACACACACACACACACACACACACACACACACACACACACACACACACACACACACACACACACACACACACACACACACACCACACACACACACACACACACATACACGAAGCGTAACAACATTCCTACCCTAAACAATGATGAGCGCAAAAGAATCAATTCACGATGTATATGATCACGTCGCCATATCATCCTTCCTTGTTCTTAGTAATCTTAAGTGTTTCGGTGAATGTATGACAGTACAACAACGTCAAAAAGAAACATTCTGTAAGGCTACTTTTCCCCTTACACAATCTATGCTCATATCAGTACTACTATACGTTACACTGAACTGATTGCGTCCTATTGACAAGAATGTACCTGCAAGATATGCAAATAAAATGTACACACACATCGACACGTACCTTCTCTCCAGAATAAATATGAACATGTCAGAACCCCACACACAAGAGCAACCAAAACACACTTTAATTGCCGTATCATGGCGTTCGCTGGGTGTAATGTCATCTGAGAACACCAGCTGTATGCCAGTATTGATCAGCGGGAGGGTCTATAGTCCTCACCACTTGGAATAGACTCACGAACTATCGCGATGATTTATTAACGAACATAGCAGGATGTGTGGTAAACATGTTCAAACTTCGTATTGAGCAACGTGGAAATTGATGGTTTGCATACCACCTGCAACTCTGTATTGCAGCCACACTATCATGGGTCCTTTTGCGATTCTGGAGCCAGTCGACGAAACTCCTGGAACTTTGAACGTGATAGACTATCAGCAATGACATTTAGGTATAAATGTAAGAGTCATGGCCATAACAGTTAGTCGCCTGGCATAATCTCAGATCTTCCAGTGGTTATGATGTTCACTGTAGTTTGATTGTCACAGTGAAATACGATTCTTTTCCGTTTCAAAAGCGATGCCCACAAATACTTGCTACAAGTATGGGATACAGGTCTCTGGATGTCCGAAGCTACGAGTGTATGCAGGTCCATAAATTAGGATACTCCGTTCCAGTTTTGGAGGAACAACAGACACATTTCACATTCTTTCCGACATTCGGCTGTCTGTGATACCTTGTCGAACAGACTTTGTACTGTTATAGACAAACAGATTCGATATGAAACAACTCATTAATCGAATAGCGCGAGCAGCAAAGTTCAGATGTCCCAGCAGGGACAGTAGAATTTGTTTTGTGCAGCTGTGGGCACTGCAAACGTCCTTGATGAATGTAATGATTCTGTGAACTGTGTTATCCTGCAACTTTTCTCAGTGTCCAGGATGAAGCCAAGGTATTCTAGCAGTGTAGCTGGACCTTCCACTTTTTGAGTACTTAGTGAGACACTGATGATTTTAAGCAGTCGAGGCCAGAGTTCTTTCTGCAATAGCGTTTGGTTTGTCAGTAGTCAGGAAGTCATCCAAAAGGTGCAACACAGTCTCGACTCCGTAGTTGTTGTGTGCACATCAGGCAGATAGCAGTTGACAGCTGACCAGACACCTTTGGACTGGAGCGAAGCCCAAAGACCAATCTGGTATAAAAGTAGTAATTGGTTTGCTTTTGACTCCTTGGTAGGACCACATATCGGGATGAACAGGGATTTGTTAAAAGGCATCTTTAATATCGAATTTGCAGAGTGGAGCACTTTTCCCATATAGGAGTAAGCACCTGATAGCATCGTCAGTTCTTATTCCACGCAAGAGGGCTCTTTGTCTATCAGGTGGTTAATGGTTGTTTAGTCGGTATTGTGGGGAGCGGACAATGTCTATGATCAACCTTTTCTTACCTGAGTACTTCCCAATTTCCAGTCCCAGTGGATTGATTCGAAAAACTGGAAATGGGGGTGTTGAAAAGGGGCCAGTCAGGTAGTTCTTCAACTCTTGGACAATTAAACTCGACACAGATACAGAGTCCTTCCTGGTCAATAAGTTGCTATGACATTCATAGCTCTCGGGAGGCAAAGGTGAAATTCCTATGGAGAAACCGTCCTTGAAACCTGACAATAGTGTTTTGGCAAAGTCACGGTCAGGGCAATTGGCACCTTGCTGAAGTTTAGCAAAGCGTGGAAGTCATTGGTTTTCAGATGGGCCTAAATGATGGGCACTTGATACCACAGACAGGCATGCTGTAATGGACATAGGTGTCGAGTACATCCTGGCTTGTCATTGTAGTTAATGCAGGCTTACTTCCCTTGGTGTATCTGTCTTGGTCGTCCTCTTGCGTCAGTTAAGTTTAAGCGCCTGTCGGGAGGAACTCTCTGTGTCGTCTGAAGGTAGGTAACTCTCGACGTTGTGGACAGTAATAAGTGTGGTAGAGGACAGACTGACATACTGCACACGAGGCTAGTCGTCCTGCTGCCAGAGAAGAATAAGTATCTTGATCTCTGATTGACCAGTCCACCTTGGCATGGAAATGGTGTTACAGGACAGATATTCTCGCAGCAAACTGACAATGATTATCGTAGAATAGCGATCCACCAAAACGGTTGTACATGTGGCTGATGTCTGCCAAGTATTGCTGCCTTCGTTGTTTACACTAACACTTTCGGTTTATGTCCCGAAAACAGCAAAGGTCAAGTTAATGCCATCAACATCAAGTCCGTCAAACTAGCCATGTTGACAAAGTGGCCATTTTGAATTAACTTACGTCAGTTTGGTGAAACAATATTAGGCAAATCGTGAGGGTCAAAATTTGTTGCTGGGTGGGGGAAGCTGGACTCAGGCATCAATTGTGAAATAGGATTGCTGTCCGGTAGTTTCTCTGGGGAACGACTCCGAGAAGTTCTTGCATTTCGTTGAACGGCGTTCTCGACAGTTTCCTTCCTCGAACATTATGCACTGGCACGTTATCTGCTGAACGCGCATATAGAAGTTTTTTGGAAAAATTGAATATTTTGTGTGGCTTGCGAGATTGTTCAAGGCAAAGAGAAGTTGTTGCAATAGCGCATGGCGGAAGTAGAAAAGGTTGAGATCGATCGACGTGTACGTCAACGTCATAACACGCCGAAGACACCCCAACAACTGGACAGAATTCGTACACTTATCCAGTCAGTGCCGATGAGATGCAAAACCGTGATTGCTGCCCGGGGCGGTCACACGAGTTACTGAGTTCAGTGCAACCTAGTGGCCTATGTGACATGACAATGAACAGTTTTCGATGCCTTTGTACAACGACAACATGTGACTATCGAGCTCCAAAATTTCATATTTGTATCTCTGATATTAAATTCAATATATCGACTTTATAAGGTACAATACATTTACTAAAAATCTACCTGTGCGTTTCTTTGTTTTTGAAGAGTGTACATTCAACGGTATGAACCTTCTAAATGGCTCGTGTTTACACGACTAGCATATATTTGCACTAACACATGCTTGTTTTTCAATATCAGTGATATTGCTTGTCGCATGTGTAACATATCGATTTGGCGTTTCCACAAAGTTTCTACTGAAAGCACCTGAATTGAATGTCGGGAACATATATACATTATTCGGAACTTGTGTCTGCACAGGATGCATTCAAATGTTTGCTACTCTAAGGATGTTAGCAATGCACAAGGTATAATGAGACATGAAATCTGATTGTGAATATCGGCCAAACAGCGAGGGAGGACTTGATGTGTTCATGAACCGTGTGTGAACCCCAGCCAAGCGTGTCCGTAGTGATCGATGTAATGCAGCAGCAGTCATTTACATTGATAGAAACTAGAAACTATCTGGTAAGTAGCATCTGATCACTATAGCAACAGCACCTGCTGAATCGTAATTATCACTGATAGCATACAAGTGTAGGGCCTTATACCAAATACAAATGGGGCTAGTTGACGTACTCACTCGCTGCTAGCTGATCACCAATGTCGCATCTACAATGCAATAGCAGCACACACACAAGACACTGTCCCAATAGTGTACGATCTGATGACTGTTATCTGAATACTTGGAATACACTTAATGCACTGGGATTTCGAGACAGCATAAGCGAGGAGCAGCTTTTAATGTAATTTTAGTTTTATACTTAAGAATTTATTGTTTGAGACCGTGTACTTTCCTGCACTGCAGTATGATATATAAGCTGTAATGCATACTTCATGTATCAGTATACATGTATTTGTATTACTAGAGTGAATGTGTGACTGAGAAGTATGTTATTTATCGTAAAAAGATGTACTGATAAGTTGTGATATATGTCATTGGCTTTATACTACCCTGTGCGGAAGCCCATTTCATGTAACACACACACATATATATATATATATATATACCTGTATGAAACATGAGAATGTATCATAATTATAACGGCAATGCCGCATGTTTGGTCAATTGTCCAAACAAACCTTGATTCGGTATTATTATAGGCCAGATGGTGCCATGTTAAGAATTCAAAATGCTTTCATAACCACAAAATACCATAAGAAACCCATCAGAGTCGTTATTCTGATAATGCAAGCTGGTGCAATTTCCAAACATTCACCATTGCCCCACTACTTTATGACAGCTCTAACTTGAGACTTATGTCAATATAATAGAGCAATCACAATACATTTATGCTGACCTCATTACATACCCAAATATTGATGTGATTGTGAAACGGCATATATCTATAACGCAACAGATGGATATAGAAAAAGAACGGTTAGAGTATTCAGGACATATCAATTTTTACCAGCCTCTCGGTTAGCCCCAACAAATGTGAATACGTCCCCTGCCATCGGCTGATTGCGCGTCATCGCACACCTTCAATCACTACGAGCAAGTACTACCGGTATGGCGGGTTCTACTATTGCTATTTGAGTATTGGCTCTTGGATTTCTCTCCGTTCCTTCTGAAGTTCTGAAATGATAATTTATTATATGCGGATGGGAGTGAGTTTGATTTTACGCCGCTTTTAGCAATATTACAGCAATATCACGGCGGGGTACACCAAATATAGGCTTCACACATTGTACCCATGTCGAAATCGGGTCTTCGGCGTGACAAGCGAACGCTGTAACCACTAGGCTACCCGACCGCCCATAAGCGGGGGAGTGGGAGTACGCCCCTAAGATCGATGTTACGTAAAAGCGACAAATTGGTTCCCAAAATCATAATATACCTCTGCAAAAATCAGAAACATTCAGACTATATCGTGAGCAGGTGTTTATTACTTATTATCAAACAGTCATGACAGCAGGTATTCGCGAGGCATGTCAACATTTCACCTGAAATGATATGTGAGCATATGGTACAAGTCAAAATAGGAAATTGCACAGGACATCATTTTGGTCATTGATACGTCTAATTTGGACATGTCATCCACATGTCTACCGTAACACTTTTTGAAAGCTTGACCAAGGCATTGAGTGATGTAACCCAAACAATAAGGACAACTTGACTCCTTTCCAAAGTTGGAAGTTGAAGCCATTGCTCTTGTCATACAGTCTTGTGGATTGTTTTCTTTTAAGACCCTATTACAAATATTTGACCCCGTTCACATGCACAATATTTACTAACGTAAGTAATTTTATACATGTATAACTATACATGCGTGTGTATGTGTAAGTTTACTATGCGTTCACATGAAAATCGACTTAGGTGTGTAAATAAAGTATGTAAATTGTGTAAGGCACACATATTAGTCAGTCTGTTCACGACTTTCAACACAAAACAGGTTGTTTTCCAATCAAAGTTGAATGAGAAGAGAGTTACTTCACCGAAAGTTTTCGCGTGAAGCAACATGTGTTTGGTTTAGTTTGTACACAAAGTTTTGACTCCTTGAAACCAAAAGAAAACACCGTTCGCTCAACTCTGTATTTACGCATACAAGTTGGCAACTGTTGACAATTTGTTTGGTGTTAGCAAAAGAACAGATATTAATTAGATCATCCTCTTACGTTGACATAAACGTTCACATTGCAACATATACACACTGTGCAAATTTACATTTACATTTGCACCTCATCCAGACACGATGCGAGTAAACGCGTTCAAATGACAAGTATACTCACGTATGTATTTCTACACACGTATGCAAATATACACACATATTTTTTGGTTTGGTTTGGTTTGTTGTTTAACGCCGCACTCAGTAATATTCCAGCTTTATGACGGCGGTCTGTAAATAATCGTGTCTGGACCAGACAATCCGGTGATTGACATCATGAGCATCGATCTTCGCAATTGAGATACGACGGCATGCATCAACCAAGTCGGAGAGCCAGACCACTTGATCCCGTTAGTCGCCTGTTACGACAAACAAAGTCGCCTTTTACGGCAAGTATGGGTTGCTGAAGACCTATTCTACCCCGGATCTTCACGGGTCCACACATATTTATAGAGGCGCATGTGATAGGGTAA